CCCAGACGTGTATATTTTGTACTGAGCGCTGTCCGGAATTGTACATTTATTTTTTAAGAAAAAGGAGGAAAAAAAGGAAAAAAAAAAACAAACAACAACAAAACCCCAACAAAACAGGGCACGGGGGTGGGGAGCCCCAATAAACGTCTGTCCCGGCGCCCGACTCTGATGTCATGCGAGGGACTGAATTCGTGCTGGGGAGTGACGTCACAGCATATTACCGGATGACGTCACAGTTCCGGAACTGACAAGCTGACTCGACCTTCCTAAGATGGGGGCGGCGCGGGAGCTCGCGATGACCTTACCAATATGGCGGCGTCCAGCATCGCCCACTGACCTTCTGAACATGGCAGCCGCCAGGGGTCCGTGTGCCCTTCTCAATATGGCGGAGCTGGCGACGTAGCCGCGCTCAGTCGCCGTATCTCGGTCCTGCAGCGGCCGCTTGGCAGGGAGAGGGAAATCCCTTCTCGGTGGCGCCGCTCTCCCTCCGGTCACTGGCACGCGGCGGCACCGGACGCTCCAGCTGCAGCCTTGACCTTCCCAAGATGGCGGCCCCTCCGCACAAGGCCTCCCGACCTCCCCATCATGGCGCCGAGGCCCCCGCCGTGCCCTGCCCACATCCTGTTGTGTCGCGCAGGCGCAGAGCGGCCTTGGCCGCCATTTCGTTCGGCGGTGCCGGGGCCGGGTACGGGAGCGGCGGGAGGAGCCGCGGGTGAGCGGGGAGGGCCCGGGGGGAGCGGGGGGCCAGGCCGGGGCTCAGCGGGCCGCGGGGAGCCGGAGCTGCGGGACGCGGGGCCGCTGTGAGGGGTGTGGTGGCTCGCGGTGGGCGTGTGGGGCCTGTGCGGAGCCCGGGCCCGGCGAGGCCTCCGCGGGGTCCGGGTGGTGTCCGGGCCGGCTGAGGGGTCCCCAGGGCCGGCTGAGGGGTCCCCAGACCGGCTGTGGAGTGTTAGGAACCGGCGAGACTGCGGGACTGGAGCTGCCACACAGATCCCCTGTTCCGCTCCACCCTGACCCCTGTGACCCCTGTGGGACCCCCAGACTGACCCCCTGGGTCACCTCAGGAGCCCCTCGCCAGGACCCCCCGACCCCACCCTGGGGCTGCCCAGAACCGATGGGGCCGAGGGCTGAGATCTCAATCGTGGACCCCTTCACGTTGCCCCCTCCCTGGGTGTCCTTTGGGACCCCCACACTGACGCCCTGGACTCATCCAGTCTTACCCCTGGGTCACCTCAGGGACCCCTCCTCAGGACCCCCATGAACCCTCGCTATGACACCTGGGATGCCCAAAACAGATGCCCCTGACCCCTTCACCTTAACCCCTGGGTCACCTCAGGGACCCCTCCCCAGGACCCCCCTGTATCCCCCTCTCAGATTGCCCGGGACCTCCACTGTGACCCCCTCTGGGACCCTCACACTGACCCCCTGGACCTCCACCCTTGAGGTGTCTGGGACCCCCGCTATGACCCCTGGGACCCCCACGCTGACCCCCTTGGCCCTTCCGCCCTTCCCTGGACCCCCACCCTGGGGGTGCCCAGAACCAGCAGGACCAGGGGCTTTGGACCTCCGTCTTGGGACCCCCACACTGACCCCTGGAATTACCCTGAGACCCCCACTATAACCCCCTGGGCTCCTCCACCCTTCCCTGGACCCCCACCCTGAGTTTGGGCTGGGGCCTTTCTAGAGAGGGGGGTACAGCAGAAGGATGGGGAGGGGTCTGTGGCCCGTGGTGGCCCAGGGATGACCGTGGGCACAGAGTGTCATGGAATCGTGGAATCGTTTGGGTTGGAAGGGACCTTAAATGCCATCCAGTGCCACACCCTGCCATGGGCAGGGACACCTTCTGCTATCCCAGGTTGCTCCAACCTGGCCTTGGACATTTCCAGGGATGGGGCAGCCACAGGGAAACACATCCACGACTCCCTGCTCCCGGTCCAACGGCCTTCCTGCCCACGATGCCGAAGGCAGTGTGGGCAGGAAGGCCGGTGGACCGGGAGCACGCGCCCACTGTGGGATCACATTCCATCGGGATAACCCCGTTGGGATCACACTCTGCCAGTCAGCGGTTCCTGCCTGGCCCCATCATGTCCCACCTCTCCCTTCCCGGCTTCCTTTCCCTTCCCGGGAAAGGGGAGAGGCAGGGAAGGCTGTGGGCCTGGCGGGACGGGCTTTTCCTGCTTTTCCCTTTGGTGCAGCCGAGTTTCAGGACGTGATTCCCTTGCTCCTGATTAAAGGTTTCCTCTGGCAAGTGACCTGAGATGAGCTCGGAGGAAGGGACGAGCCTGACTTGAGGGTTCTGTGGCTGGGAATGGGAAAGCCTGGGATGGGGCTGTGGAAGCTGGGGATGGGGTAACTGAGGGTGTGGAAGCTTGGAAAGGAGAAACTGAGGCTGTGGAAGCTGGGAATGGGCAGTCAGAGACTGTGGAAGTTATGGACAGGGAAACAGGCTGGAAACTGGGAATGGAGAAACTGAGGGTCTGGAAGCTTGGGAAAGGGAAACGGGCTGGAAGCTGGGAATGAGGAAACAGACTGTGGAAGTTGTGGGAAACAGGCTGGAAGCTGGGAATGGAGAAACTGAGGCTCTGGAAGCTTGGGAAAGGCAAACAGGCTGGAAGGTGGGAATGGGGAAACTGAGGCTGTGGAAGCGGAGGCTGTGGAAGCTGTGGATGGGGAAACTGAGGCTGTGGAACCCACCCCTGAGGAATGAGAAACTCCAGAGTTGGGGGTTTTGGTAAAAACGCCTCGTCAGAGCCCGCGCGGGTCGTTAATAATTCACAGGGAGCGTCTGGATCCCGCGGGGCCGGAGCGTGTCCGTCTGTCTGCAGGCAGGGATGCGCCGCCTCGGCGGGATGCTCCAAATGGAGCTGGCAGCTCGCGCTCGGGAAGCATGCTGATAGGATTTTAAAAGCCTGAGTGACCTTAAATCCTGCGATGGCTGTCGCTCAGGATAAATTATTTATGTGGCATCTTCAGCTCCGCGGGAGCGGGGCAGGAATGTCGGGCTGCGGGGACAGGCTCGGAATTTGGGAGGGGGTAGCGAGGAGCTGCGGGTTTGGATGGGAAGAGGGGGAAGATAAAGGCGCGGGGGCGGGCGTTGGAGAGGTCCAGCCTTGGAAGTCGTTCCCAAACCGGTGCGGCCGCATTTCTGCACCGACATCAGAGGCTGGAAATTCCTCTTGATCTGCAGTTCAAAGCCTCCCTGAGGATGAGGCGCTGCAGCTCGGGCTTGCAAATGAGAAATACAAATCCGCCCCGGAGCCCAAATCCCCCTGAAAAGCGAGGAAATAGGCGGCTGAAGGTCACTGCTGCCTGTCCTGCCCCAGCAGCAATCCCCCGGGATGAGCTGGATCGGGGCTGCTGCTGGGGAGGGCGTTTTAAATCCCTCCACGGCAAATGGGGACTTGAAAAACACCTGGAAAACGTGGTGTGTCACCCTGGCCGGGCTGGATCTGCCTAATCCAGCTGTTTTAGGGGACAAGGGGCAGCTGAATGACAAATTCTTGGGATTTAATGATGTTTTGATTCCAGAGGTGACAGGGAGGTGCTGATCCAAAATGCTGCCGAGGGGTCTGTGGCTGTGGTGGGCTCAGCTCTGGAAGCAGCTTTCCTCAGGGTCACCTCAATCTCCTGATCTCTCTCTCCTCCCAGGGGACAGCTTTTCACACCTTGTTTTCCTCACACTTTGCTCAGAGCTCTCCTGGGGTTTGGTTTGGATTGGAAAAGCAAAGGCACTGTGCAAACCTGCCCCTCCTGCCTCAGCCCAGCTTTGATCTGCGGGTGTCTCTGGATTCAGCTCTTCCCAACCACTTTCCCTGTGAGCAGTGGGAGCTCTCGCAGGCTCCGATGTGTCTTGGTGTGAAAGGATCCTGGTAAGGAAGAACAAAGGAGAAGTTGGAGCGTTGTTTCACAGGGATGGCTTCTGCCAGGCAGGAAGGGGTGCTGAGCAGTGCTGGGAGGAGAACTCCCCCCTTTTCTCTTTTCCTGGAGGATTTAGCTTGTGTCTCCCTAATCTGTATCAGCTGGGTCTGTCTTCTTGCACATGAAAGGTCCAGGCTGTATTTCAAAGGCAGCCTTCCCACCCGGAGCTCTCAGCTTTTCCCAGCCATGTGCCGAGTTCGGGGCCTCTCGATTTTGGTTTTTCAAAGTGACCTTTGCTGTTAATCCCCAGCCCTAACGGGGCCGTGTGCTCAAACGGAATGACCTGTTTCTCGGGAATTCAGCTCCAGTTTATCCTCAAGCTGCTTTAACTTAAACTCTTCCCTCCCCTCCTCTTGCTCTTCTAGGTCAGAGCCTGGATCTGAGCGCAGGTTTCGCTGTGAGGGCACCCTAAAAATGGGGAGATGGTGACTCGTGGTCTGTTTGGAGAAATACCCCCCTCGTCCTACAAGTCCCGTGGGATTGCCGCTGTGGGATTGTCCTTGTGGGATTGTTTGGAGCCGCTCCACTTGTCACAGGGTGTCTGGGGGTCAGCAGGGCACACGGGGGAACCTTGTGACCAACCGCTGTCTGTCTGTCTGTGGGATGGTGTGTCCCTGTCACAGCGGCTCCCGTGACCCCAAGTGTCACCGAGGGAAGTGTCACCCTGGGAGTAACCAGCTGGAGCAGGGACGTGATGTGTGACGTTCCCGTGGGTTGGGAGCGGAGGTGACGGCCCTGGCACAGCTCCTGTGCTGGCTCAGGGCTGTGACACACGAGCCCGACTCAGGAGTCTCATTACCTGGCGCTGAATCCGTGCTAATTCCCTCCGGCAGCTGATCCGGCACTGCTGGGGCTCTGCCCCGGAGCAGCTCGTGCCGTCCCGGCCCCACTGCGGGCTGGGAAGGAGCACAGGGAAAAGCATTCCTGTTCCAACTCGTCCCAGACAAGCACATTCGGAGCCGTCTGTGATCCTGCTCCGGTGGGAAAGGCACAGGCTGGATGTGTTTGCCGGGCGTCATTCCTGATTCTGGAGCGTCCGGAGGGACTGGGGGATGTTGGCTCTTGGGTGTGAGGCCTCGAGCTGGGACTTGACAGTGGAGGGCACTTCCACCAGGAAAACTGGGAGCCTCAGGTGACTCGGAAAATGCAGGAGATAGAGGGAGGAAGGCCTTCCCGACAAGGCTGTAGCTGAGGAATTCTCGCTGGGTAGAAGGGCTGATTTTAATTAAAAGGCAGTTTATGGATTTATTTATTTCCCTGAACCTCGGAGCTGGTGGTTTCCCGAGGGCAGGGGAGCCACTGGCATCACAGCTGTGCCGCTGCTCCGTGCTTCCCGTTCTCACATCTCAGGAGTGTCTGACAGGTGAGGATGGACCTGTGTCCCATGGGATCAGTAAACTGTAGTTTATCCAGCAGGATATGAGTCCGACGAGGGATCTGGTTGTTAATACCTGGTGCAAACCTGGCTCACAAAGGAACTTTCAGGGGGACAGGGGCTGTTCCTATGCCCTCTGTCACTGCCCTCAGGGTCAGAAATGGGTGTGAAACTGCCCTGTCCTTGCCTCCTGTTGGCATTATGGTCCCTGTTAGTGACTGTGGAATAGGTTTTCCTGAGGGAAGGATGTCTGTGGCCCAGAGAGGGACATTTGTCCCCTGCCTCTGGGTCTGCCCCGAGCACCTGGGACTCTGCATGTGGGGCCTCCAGTCACCACATTCCTATTCCCTGAGCGGTGCTGCAGGACAGCCCTACCTGAGCACTGTTGTCAGCAGCACGAGTCTGCCAGGGAACTGTGACTTCCCGGTGATTCAGGCTCCTCTTCCTGTCCCCCCCTCCCTCTGTGCTCCGTCTCTGGTGCCAAACGGAGCTGCCAGGCCCCAGGAGCTGTTCCAGGGGAGCCGCGGTGCTGGACAGGTTCGTTTTGGGCTCGTGATGAGATGGGTTGAAATGTCATCAGATCCATGCTGGGAAAGCTGTTTTCCCTGACTGCTTGGAGAGCTTTGGTGGGGGCTTTGGAGCTGTGGGGTACAGAGAGCCTTCAGTGTTGGGGGGTTATTGATGCTGTGGTTGGGAGCCACAGGACAGCCCCGCACTGCTCCGGCTGCTCCAGAGACGGAGCCGTCTGGCAGATTTACCCTGGCTGTGGCCAGAGAGGCCCCGGGGCTGTGTGCCAGGGCTGGCTGTGCCTCCTGCAGGCTCCTGTCACATTCCCACGTGAGCATTCTCTGGCTGCAGCTGGAGGAGCTGGATGGATGGTGCTGGAGCAGCTTGGCTGGGTTTTCTCTGCTGAGCGAGGTGCTCGTGTGAGACACATCCTGGGTGTCATCTCCAGGCACTCCGGGGGCCCTGGGGATTTGGGGTGGGGATGTGCTGTCCCAATTCTGGGACCTGCTGCTCCAGGGTGTTGGGAGGACGTGGGAGCTCAGATCCAGCTGCTGCTCCACAGAAGCTCCAGCTCAGCACCAGCACAGCGCCCCGGGGCCATGTTTCTCCGCAGGCTTTCCCCTCCATTCCCTGACCGCTTCCTCCCTTCCTGCAGGCATGAGTGCCCAGGCCTGCCCCCAGCACTGAGCAACCGGAGCCGCCGGGAGCCAGGCCAGGATGCCGATCCCTCCTCCCCCGCCGCCGCCCCCCGGCCCCCCGCCGCCCCCCACCCTCGGTCAGGTAGGGGTCACCTTGTGACAGGTGGGGAAGTGGCCTGTCCCCTCATGGGGCCACTTGCCAGAGGAATTGGCCCTGGAGAAGGCTGGCTGTGGGTGCCTCGGGAGGTGGGAATGTGGAGCGGGGCTGTGCCTGTGCTGTGGGTCGGGGTGTCCGGGGCAGGTGCTGAGCTGCTGCTCGTCCCCAGGCGAACACGGAGCCGCCCAAGCTGAGCCGGGAGGAGCAGCGGGGCCGCGGGGCCCTCCTGCAGGACATCTGTAAAGGGACCAAGCTCAGGAAAGTGACCCAAATCAACGACCGGAGCGCGCCCATCCTCGAGAGTGAGTCCCCGGGGGGCTCCCGGGCCGGCTGCTGCTGTGCCCAGCAGGGCTCTCACCCATCTGGTTCCCAGCAGCTCCTCATTGGAGGAGCGGATAATTCCAGGCTTAACCTCTCTGCCTCCCTCCTTCCAGAGCCCAAGGGCAGTGGCGGTGGCAACTACAGCTCTGGCTCAGCCGCCATCCAGCCCAAGGGTGGCCTATTCCAAGGTGGCGTTCCCAAGCTCAGACCCGTGGGAGCCAAGGACAGCTCAGGTAACAGCCACGTGCCCGTGGTCTGTGTGGGGTTCCTGGGAGGGCCTGGAGCAGGAGGGGGTCGAGGATCTTGCCGTGCTTCCCTGGGGGTTTTAGCTGGTCAGAGGCAGGACCCCAGGTCACACCCCCTGTGTGGCACAGGCTGGCTGTGCCCTCCCCATGCCACAGTGTCCCACACATGGACCTCTCGTAGCGCGCAGGAGCCGTGTGTGTTGCTGAATGTTTCTCTCTGGTGTTCTGTGTGGTGATCAAAGAGTAGAGTGGTGAGAGAGGAGCCGTGTGTGTGGCTGTGCTCGCTGCCAGCTCCCTGCCTGTGCCAGACATCTGTGTGGCCTGGCCCTCCTCGGCCGCAGCTCTGCGCAGGGACAAGGCACGGAGCCACTCCTGTGCCATTCCTGAACCCTCACTGTGCTCTCCTTCCCCACAAACAGCTCCCCCAAACAGACCCTGTGAGCCCCCTCACTGTGCTCTCCTTCCCCACAGACAGCTCCACCAAACAGACCCTGCAAGTGCCCGGCTCCCGTGCAGCTGCCCCCAGGCCCCCGGTGCCGGCCAGCAACAACCGCCCTCAGGACGATGCCGACAGCAGCCGGGGGTCCCCGCCGGAGCTGCCGCGCACGCAGAGACCCTCCCTGCCCGACCTGTCCCGGCCCGGCACCGCGGGCAGCACCGGCATGAAGCACAGCTCCTCGGCCCCGCCGCCCCCGCCACCGGGACGCCGCGCCGCCGCCCCCCCGGCCCCCCCTCCGGCGCACGCCAAGGCCTCGCCCTACAACCGGGAGAAGCCACTGCCGCCCACCCCGGGACAGCGCCCACCCGGCAGCAGGGACGGACCCCCCGCCCCGCCGCCCATCAAGCCCCCTCCCTCCCCAGTCAGCCTCCGGACGGGGTCGGGGGCTCAGGGCCAGTCTCTTGCCCCCCCGCCGCCCCCTTACCGGCAACCGCCCGGTGTCCCCAACGGCCCCTCCAGCCCCGGCAGCGAGTCGGCCCCGGAGCTGCCGCAGAGACACAACTCCTTGCACAGGAAGGCGCCGGGCCCGTTGCGGGGTCTGGCCCCCCCGCCGCCCACTGCTGCCTCCCCATCCCTGCAGAGCAGCCGCCCCCCCCCGCCGGCCAGAGACCCCCCGAGCCGCGGAGCAGGTAAGAGCTGTTTGCTCCATGGTGCCCGGGGTGGGCTGTGGGGGTCTCTCAGTGGTTGGGGGCTTGTGAGAGGTGAGTGGGAAGAGTCAGCTCTGAGGCACAGTGAGGTTCCTCAGAAAGGTTGATTAAACATTGGAAGCGACTGCCCAGGGAGGTGGAGTCACCATCCCTGAAGGTGTTCAGGGAGTCGTGGCACTCAGTGCCCTGGTCTGGTTGACAAGGTGGGGATTGATCACAGGTTGGACTCAATGATCTTGGAGGTGTTTTCCAGCCTAAGTGAGTCTGATTCTGCTCATGGTGTAGGGGCTGAGCAGGGCAGTGGCTGCAGTGTCATGTTTAACACATGTCCTTGGTCATGTCCCATGCCCATCCAGCTCCTCCCAGCCTGATGGTGGTGGTGGGTTTTGTCTGGGCAGCTCCTGCCCGCGAGGTCCGTGTGCTTTCCTGGGGTGGGAGGTGAGAACATGGCAGAGCCAGAGCTGCAGTCTGTCTCTGCTCCCCTGAGCTTCCGAAATGTCGCTGGGGGGATGACAAAAAGCTGTGGCAGAGCAGGGAGAAGCCTTTCCTGTGGTGGTGCAGCCCTCGAGAGCGTGTCCCCGTGGCCGGGGCTGGCGCTGGCTGTGCCCTGGTGCCCCCCCCTGCGCTCCTGGGCTCCGTGTCCAGACCGCAGCTCCCGCCTGGGCCCTGGCCAAGCCACTCTGTCCTCCCAGCCCTGCCAGAATCCCTCCTTGGAGCTACGGCTGGGGAGCTGCGCTGTCAGCCCGGCTGTAATTAGGCTAATGAGGAGCACGAACTGCCACCGAGCCTCCGCGGGAGGCTGGGCAGGAGCGAGAGGTGGGTCAGAGGGGCCGGGGGTCCTGTCACCGCCTCGGTGGCACTGCAGACGTGGCCTCCAGCCCTGGCAGGCAGCGTCTTGGCTCCACAGGGAGCTGCTGCCCTCAGACTCTGGGATGTGCTGGCTCATAGCTGCTCCTTGGATCCCCTCCGTGGAGGGATGTGTGCCCAGCATGGGCTGGGAGTGTGCAGGGCCAGAGCAGCCCCCCATGGTGGGTGGTGAGCTGGGGGGGCACCGGGCTGGTCGGTCTCTGCCCTGCAGCTGCTGGAGGAATGAGGAATGCAGATGTCAGGAGCGAGCAGGAAATCTCTGGGCACGCGTAGGAGCATCCCTGGGCCGCGGTCTGGCCCAGCCGCCGGCCTGGAATGCTCCAGGGGATGTCCTTGGGTTTGCCCCAGGAATGCCGCATTTGCTGACCCCGCTCTCCCTGCAGCGCCCCCGCCCCCCCCGCCGATGCTGCGGAACGGGGGGCGTGATGCCCCCCCGCCCCCGCCCCCCTACAGACTGCACGGCCCCGCCGAGCCCCCCAGCCGGGGGAAGCCCCCGCCGCCGCCCACCAGGACCCCGGCCGGGCCACCGCCGCCGCCACCGCCCGTGCGGAACGGGCACCGCGACTCCATCTCCACCGTCAGAGCATTCCTGGGTGAGTGGGACCCCCGCATGGATCCCCCTCGGAGCAGAGCCCTGTGGCTTTGGCCGGGCTCCCCTAGAGTCCCCCTCCCTCACCTGCCTCTTCTGCCCCTTTTCCACAGATGACTTTGAATCCAAATACTCCTTTCATCCCGTTGAAGACTTCCCAGCCCCAGAGGAATATAAGTACTTCCAGAGAATCTACCCCAGCAAAACAAACAGAGGTGAGGAGGAGGGGGGGGTGCATGTGAGGAGGAGGAGGGGGTGTCCTGCAGTACCTGTCCCCTCCTGTGCCCTTGGGGTCATGTTTGTCCCCGTGCAGGGTGAATGGTGCAGTGGCCTCGCCCCAGGCCCTGCCCATGTTCCTGGGAGTGCCAAGCCCCTTTCCTGGGGGTGCTGAGCTCTGAGGGCAGCTCGCTGTGCTTCAGGGGAAGGGGGGGCTGGGAATTTGGGCTGTGCAGATGTCCCATCCCACCTACTGGGAAATGCCGCAGGGCTCGTTCCTGCTTTCATTGGTGCCAGAGGGGGATCCTGAAGGACCCTGCGGCCGGAGCTGGGGCTGGACAGGGGCCGGAGAGCGCAGCCCCTCTGTGTATCCTGGGATTGGCCCTGAGCGCCGGCGCTCGGACCCGGCAGAGCTCAAAGTGCCCTTGGTGCCGCGCGTCAGCGCTGCGGATCCCGGCGGAGACTCCGGGGAGAATGGGATGCTCGTTTATTTTTAGAGCCATGAATGTTTAATGCGGGTTTGAAAAGCCCCGAGCTCGGTGCGGCTGCTGCCAGGCGCAAATCCCAGGCTCCAGATCTCCGCGGGGAGGTCGGGGAGGGAGGGGGGGCCAGCAGCTGGCGCGGGGGTGTGGAGGAGGGAAAGCAGACGTGCCGGATCCGGCTCTGCGGAGCTCCCGCTTCCATCCTCCTTCCTTGTCTTGCAGCTACACGTGGGGCTCCCCCTCTGCCCCCCATCCCCAGGTGAAACCGGGCTGTGCAGGTGGATTGTTCCGGAGCAGACACACGGACCTCCTTCCCCTCCCTCAGCCGGCCCCCCCAGCTCCCAGCCCCCCGGATCCTGCATGGCACACTCCCGGCCTCTCTGCCTTCCCCAGGACCAGCGGATCTGCCCGGCCCAGCGCCCTCCATCAGCCTCCCCCTCATCTATGCACCCCTCGGGACTCATGGCAAGCCTGGATTGGTCCATCCCTTGTTCCTCCTCATGGATCCCGGGCCAGGATCAGCCTGGGAGCTGGGCACAGGACTCTGGGCTGAGCCGTGTGCCGGCTGTGGGGATCAGGGGGGCTGGTGGAGAGGGGCTGCGGATGGACATGCCGTGAGACCCCCAGAGCGAGGGGGAGCAGGGCCAGGCTGGGGGAGCCTCGTTATCCCTGGAGAGCCTCATTATCCCGGTGGAACCTCATTATCCTGGGAGAGCCTTGTTATCCCAGCACAGCCCATTGCTTTTTTGCACAGGAGCCAGTAGGGGAGGGGGGTGAGTGGGACCATCCAGGGAGACCCCAACAGCGCTGGGTGAGGGGGAACCCCATCCCTGTCCCCTCTAAAACCGGCACTTCCCCCCCGGGCTGGGATGGGGGGCGTGGGGTCCTCTCGGCTTTCACTGCTGAACCCCCGAACTCAAGCATTTTAACAAGAAAACACTAATTATCTGGGGAGGAACCGGGGGGGGGCCGTTTGTGCTGGTTCTGACACGTCAGGGGGCACATGGGGGGGGCCCTGGGGGAGCCAGTGACGTTTTGCCTTATACACTCCCTGTCCGACGGGTGGTCCCGGCCGGACTCTCCGTGTTCCCGCGGGGGGGTCACACTAACGTAGTTACTGATCTCTTTGTACCTGTCAAGCGCCGTAGGAGGAAGGTGGCGGGGGCTGCAGGGAGGCTGCACCTCCCCCAGAATGGTTTGGGGTTGATTTGGGTGTTGTTTTTTTTTTTCTATGACGATGGACCTTTCCCTGTTGGGGTTGGAGAAATGCGGGTGAAGGGTGAGGGGTGTTTGGGGGGGGTTTCTGGAGGATGACCCCCCTCAGCATTGCCCTTTGGGTTAAATAAAGGGTCAACACGGTTCTGCCCCTCCTGGAGCGAGGGACCCTCCTAAGAGGGAACAGAGGGAATTGGAGGAGCTGGAAATTGCATTTAAATAAAAGTAATAAAGTGATAAATGATGTCAAGGGCACTGCCTGGGGGGAGGGTGCTGGAGAAGGGGGGGTACTCAGGGACCCCTCTTGTCTCTTGTGGGGGTGATGGCCCCAGGGGCTGCGGGTAGGGCATTCTGTCTGCAGCCAGGCTGGTACTGGGAGTGCTGGGAGGCAGGGTGGAGGGTACTGGTGGCAGTGGGACCACTGGGAAGACAGTACCGTGGGCTCTGGGAGCATGGGGAGGCGGGATTGCATGGTCTGGGAGCATGGCGAGGTGGGATTGGACGGGTGCGGGAACTGGGAGCACAGGAAAGCGGGAAGGGGAGATACTGGGAGTGCTGGGAGGCAAGGTGGAGAGTGCTGGGAGAAGGGAGGGGCAGGACTGGGTGGCAGTAGGAAGGCAGTAGGAAGGCAGGATGAGGGATACTGGTGGCAATGGGAAGGCAGGATGGGGGATGCAGGCACTGGGAGCACGCGGGGGCGGGCTGGGGGTTACTGAGAGCGCCGGTCCCGTCCGGACTACAGCTCCCAGCATGCTCCGCGCGCCTTCCGCCATGTCTCGGGCGCGCTCGCTGATTGGCTGCTCTGTTGCGATC